GATAGGAACATTGAATAAGATGGGAAAGTTCTTTTTCCTTAAAGATTTTACATTTCAGTAGGAAAAAAACCAAAACAATTAAACTCAAAGTATATTATTTCAGAGATTGCTAAGTATTCTGAAGAGAATGAAAAGGATTATATAATAGAATACATTGGTGGGGAGGAGGGTACCAAGGCCACTAAAACTGAAAATCTCCCAAACTGATAAACCACCTCATCAGGCAGATAGCACCGGGCCATCATAAGCATTCACACTGGACAATATCATTCACACTAATTGAGAACTTTCTAGCTACCCAGTATTCTCCTAAGTGCTTTAAAATTTATTTCATTCTAAAAATAAAATAATAAAAAAAATTTTTGGATACACCTATTATCCTAATTTTAGAGATAAAGAATAGAAGAACAGGATAGTTAATGAACTTGTCTAAGTTTACATGTTAGGAAGGAACAGAGCCAAACTTTGAGTTCAGTCAGATTTCAGACCAAGTGCTCTTTAACCTGACATTCAGTGGCCAGTGGCTCATTGACCATAACCTGGATTCTGTTCGTTCATTCAACACTCAGTATCCCTGTGCAGCACTCAGCCAGAGTGAAGGTACTAGAAATAGAACCCTGAACAAAGCAGCCATCTCACAGAGTTCACAGCGTAAGCTTTAAGCCTGTCACTGTTTGGGTTCTCTGGAAAGCAGATGCTGAAATAGAATCATAAGGGGGAATTTTTGTGGAGCTCCAGCACCTGTCCAAGGAAAAGAGCAAAAAGTAATCATAGAAAAGAACTGGGAGGCATTAGATTTAGTTCTGAGGAGCAGGCTGAAACTCTAGACAGAAATAATTATTGTAAAGAAATAAAATTTCAATAAAACCTTAATGTGCCTGATGTTATGTTTATCTGCTGCTCACTTTGATTTCTTTAAGTGCACATATTGACATTTTATTCACTTGTGTGCAAAGTGCTGCAATAAATTTTATAGCTACATGTTTCCTCCTTTCAGTGAGGGTAAGGTTCAAAGGAGCAACACTTCAGAGTCAGAAAAGACAAAAGCCAATGCTAAAATTGTCAGTCAAAACAGAAACTGATGCACCTTGTCAAGAACAAATCATAATTCTTTCCAAATCAAAACAAATATAATCATTTTTTTTTTGTTATTGTTGTTGTTGTTGTTTCAGGAAACACCAGAATCTTGTAACTAATTATTTGTGTGATGGATTTCAAATTGTGGTCAAATTCTACCAAAGTGCAAGTGCTGAGAATAGAAGGGGAATTCCCTTCTACTGTTTGTGGGGACAAGTGCATGGAGTATTGCATACATGGCATACATTAACCACTCCCCCATGCTAGGCATGCAAGCAGCAAACCACTAGCCCTGTAGGCACAGCCTGGGCATGAAGGCCGCTTGTTGCAGTCCCTGCACTTGCTCCATGGCCCAGTCCTACATTGGTTGCTACAAGGATAGTTAGCAGACATTGCATTGGTGGCTGCCTATAATCTGCTTAGCTACTGCCTGAGAATATATACATGGTAACTGTGCAATAAAATCAGACTTCCTTCCTGCTTGGTCTCGGGAGGTCTTGATTTATCGACTCTGCAGTCACACTCTCCTCTACTCTGTTCCATGGACCTCATCAATGGATGAGAGAGAGCCCACACAACTACTGTTTGTCAAGGACATTGTTTTTCATTTTCAGATCTTAGGAATATCATGGGAAGCTTAGAGGCTTGCCACAGAACAGGCAGCTCAGGTGTACTAAACAAATATCAAGACACAGCTGAGCAGCATTTCTATTAAGAGATCCTCATACAAATAGATAGCTGATGAGATGCTCTGACCTTCAGAGCTGAGAACAGCTAACTGGAACTTCAGTATAGGTGATGTTTGTTACACAAATGTCCACAAAAGAGCTACAAGTCTTCTTCTAGCATCCACACAGCTTCCTGCCATTGATAACTGATATATATTTGGCAATCTCTTAATGATAATTCTGCTTATTTCCTTAAATGATGCCCCTTGTAAGTCTTCTTCTCAGGCCACCATGACTTCCTTCATGGTAACTTTCTACTCTCTTCCCTCCTCTACTCACATTTTAGCATAGAAATTCATCTAGTCTCCTCCAAGAATGAGACTTGTCCAAGACTTTCCATAAAAGAGCTAAGCAAACAAATTCTGTGTACTATTAATAAAAATTGTTTTATACTCGTGTGGGATAAAGCTATGCTAAAATTGAGAGTCTCCCCACTTTTCCATGAAGGAAAACAGCCCATTTTCAGGTCACTGACTTTAAGGACTACAGCCGGCATCAGTTTGGTGCCTCTGGGACTCCATCATATCAGTGACATGTGTAGTGAGTGACCATTACACTCAACAAATCCAAGACGAGGGATATGGAATATGAAGAGTTGGGGTAGGAGATAAAAATTTCATAAATGCAATGTAGGAAGCTGTCCAAATTTATTCATGGGATTTTGAAACAGAATATGTTGAAACTTTATGAGAAAATGCGTTTACAGATTGCACAAAGGTAAATAGGAGAGCTGAGCAGAAGACTACTTAGTGAGTCTTCATGTTGTGGATGAACTGAGGAAATTAGAAATAAATAGAACACAAGTAGGTATTTCATCATAATGTAAATGTGGCCAAATAATTCTATCAAGACAAAGTGGCAATAAGAATATAATAAGTCTGAGTTTCATTGCTTGAACCTGACTGCTGTTGAGATATATCTTTTGCAGAATGAGCTTGCCAAAGATAAGATTAAACAACAGATAAAATTTAGTCTGCTGGGATATATTGCCAACACAAAGACATAGACGCATTTATAGTATGCTTTCCTGATAACATATGGTCCTGCCTATGCTTTGTCACTGAAGACACCAAGGGAAGAACTTTGCCCAAGGAGATGTACCTGGTACAGAAGTATAGCACAAGACAGAAGAAGGTTAACAGGCAAGCTTGATTCTCCTAGAAAATGTGCATTCACTGCAAAACAACTATTATGGGTTGTATTGTGTTCAAAGGGCAAAGATGTCTGCATGCATCACAGGAGGCTGAGTGTTGAGGATTTAAATGTGGACTTTGACTTAAGGTTTGAGGATTCTATTTCCTGACTGTACAAAGGGACCAATGCCCACCATTGCATCAATGACATATCGTTACAGTTCCTCTACATGGACTGTCAGCCTGTCACCTGTTCCAATGCTAGCCTATAGTTCCTGGGGTATAATATGTTACTGTGCTTAGTGCTTCTAATTTTTGTGACATCAAATAGTGGTAACAGCAGATAAAAACAAATACAAGCAGAAATGATGTAATGATGCCTAATACTGAACTGTAATACTAGTGGGGAAAACTTATCCAAATACCTAATAAAACTTCACTGTAGGAAAAACAGGTTCTTGAAGATCTATAGAGGAAAGTTCTAATTGAATTTCAATGGGACCCTTTTCATTAAAAACAGAGAAAAGTGGTAGAGGTACAAAGGAATAAAAGAATAACCTCTTGTGATTCTTGAAAGTGTTTTGTTCATGAACCACATATTTTGAGAGCACAAAAGGTTAAAGAATAAAAGCAAAAGGCTACATAGTGGCCAGTGAATTCTTGGAAGACAAGAGGTATTCAGATCACAGAACACCAAGAAGACTAATATTGGGGAGATCTCGCTCATTGTGAGTAACTGGAAGATGGCTTCAGCAATTTTAATGTGGGAAAAAAAAAAGACCTCTGCTAGAGATTCTACCTCTGTTTGTGCACTCCCAAGTAAGTTAACACAATCACAGAGCCAGCAACATTATAGCAAGGGGCAAAGATGAGAAGAAAATTGGGGAAGGGTGTGATTCAACTTTCCATGTAATCCTCTCAGACAATCATAATCTGCATGTCTGTTAAAACGTGCTGATCATCCTCTTATTCTGTAGTGCCTGTCACATGAATCATGAAAAACACTGCCTAGATTTTATACTACACATATACTACAAATCACTAGCCATAATAAGATAATTTATAAAGTCTGCAATCTGAAACCTTCAAGTTTATAAAATGAGAGATGACATTTTTAATCACAATTTAAGAGTCCCTCTGTGTGGGAAGCCATTCTCACACGTGATTGGGCAACTCCCGGATTGGGTGTGAGGCGCTCTGGCTAAACTGTGTCGGAGCTTTCCTGACCCTCTCCTGGTGCGAGAGCCTGCTCGTGTGGGGGTGTGACTGACCACTGACCCTGAGGCCAATCACTGACCCTGACCTTGGAGTGCTGCCCCCCTCAACCTTCATTGGATGGAATTCTCCCCTGAATTTCTTGTTCCCCAATAAAAGGCCACTCCCTGGCGTGCTCTGCCTCTCTCTCTCCTGCTAGCTCTGAGTAATCCTTGCTGCCTTACCGGGTGGTTCGAGGTGTGAGCCAGAGAGGTGAGAGCTGTCTCAGACCTGGTCATAGAAAAAGGTAATTGAGTCTGTGTGTTTATTTTGATCTCGCTAGCTAACTTTTATGCCAAGAACCTCTTTAATGAAACCAGTGCGCTGGTCGCATGGTGGAACCTCTACAAACTTTGGAAGTTTGTAACAAGGAGCAAATATTTTACCCCAATTAGTAGATAACATAAACTTCATTCAAAATTTAAATATGTTAACCAAAAAAATTCATTGTTAGGGGCTGTGACTGTGGCTCAGTGTTAGCACACTTGCCTGGCATGTGTGAGGTACTGCATATAGATTCCCAGCATCACATATAGATAAATAAAATAAAGGTCTATCAACAACGTAAAAAAATTAATTTATTTGTGGGTTGCCACACACGAGTTTCCTGGTAAGCATATCTGAACTTGCAGAATATTTATTAAAATGTGCTCCCCACACATGATAAATGTTTAATGAGATATAGCTGTCTAAACTGATTTAATCTTTGCACAATGTAAAAATATTTAGAAACATTAGTAGGTACCCTACCAATGTACAGATTGTTCATGTTTTATGTATTTGGTTTTAAAAAGTCTTTTTAAATAAGGGAGGAGAAGAAGAGGAAGAGGAAGAGGAAGAAGAAGACGATGATGAGGATGAAGATAAGGAGGAGGAGGAGAAAAAGAAGAAGAAAAGAAGATGGAGAAGAAAGAGGGGGAAGATGAGTAGGGTGAGGAAGAGGAGGTAAGGAAGGAGAAGAACTACCCACCAAATCCATACCTGTTGTAGAAGGGAAGGTAGCAGGATACACTTGGGGGAAGTTGATCTTCAAGGTAAACTCAACAACAACCTCAGTTAACACTATGAGGAGCTACATAGCTGCCAGGTCACGTCAATATTGTCCCATCCTGGGCCAGAATGGCAAGGCCTTTGTACCCTATATACCCTATACATCAGTCATTTCAGGTGGGCTTCCCCTGGAAAAATATGTGCTTGATCAAGGAAGGTATATGGTGGGGACAATCTGTGAAGGGACTGATAACATGCTCACCTGCTGTCAGGACATTAAGTTCTTCGTTGATGGAAGATCTGGGAAGCACATCAAATGCTCTACCCCCTGAAATGGCTGTGTGTCAAAATCTATAGCAGATAATATGTAGAAGATAGGGGTGAGCAACATATTTAAGATCTAGTTCACTCTGTCAAACTCTCAGCTCTTCTCTTTCTCTCAAGTAAAAGACCATGTGACACATTCATTAAAGAGGAAGTAAAACATGTTTAATAGCATTAGATCCGACACTTGCAAATTGTGTAATTTTATTGCTAGCATGGCTCAGATTTTTATTGGAAGTTGCAGATAACAACTTTTCTGGCTCTCCATGTCAGCTGTAATATATTTTCACAAATTTAGGAATTTAACATGGATGTATTACCTAACAGTTCAGTTGTGAACTTCAAAAGTCTAGGTGGGGTGTCCTGGGTCTCTGCCTCATGTACAACAGGCAGGAAGGAATCAAGGTGTCAGCAGAGATACATTCCTCTCTGGAGACTATAGGGGAGAATCTACCTTCTCACTCATCCAGAGTGTTGTGAGAATTCAGCTTCTCATACTTGCAAAACTGAGATTACTTTTCTCTGCTGGCTGTCAGTTGAGGGCCACTCCCATCTTCTAGAGGCCATCAACATTCTTTGGCTTATGGCCCTTTCCTCCATCTTCAAAGCCACTCACAGTGGGTCCAGTTTCTTTCATGCTTTGGGTCTCCTCTTCATCTTCTGTCACACCTCAACCATCTGTTCTGCTTGCATCTTCCACTTTTCAAGGAAGATGTGAGTAGATTGGACCTACCCCAACAATCCAGGATAATCTTCCTCTGTTGAAGTTCATCACTATAATTTGCAAAATTTCTTCTGCTGTGCAACATGGCCACAGATTCCAGGGATTAGGGTGTGAACATCCTCGAGAGTCATTACCCTGCCTCTACAACAACTCATAGTGCTGTCTGAAGATAATGTTCAAGGCCTCTCCAGCTGGCACAGGATAAGCCCTAATAAACAAAGCTCATGACAGGAGTCTGGAAAAAGACACTGATTAATAACCCTTATAGTCATCAGCATAAGCTCTATGGAAAAGGACTAAATCTTGACAGAAGGGAGCAATTTGGATAAAGGAAAGGACAGAAAAACATAAGAGAAAGAACAAGCACATCAACTTCTAGTAGCAAGAGTCAGGCTTCAAAAACAAAAAGACCCAAATTCAAGTGCTCACTCTGTTCTTTGTGAGTTTTATTTTAAGCTTATAATACATCTCTCTAGGCTTCAATTTTCCTTTTTTTTTTAAACTTACCTACTGCATGTCTATATTCTAGAAGAATAGCAAGGCATTTTAGTATCCTCTTTGGTCCTTGAGTTTTACTATTCTTGGCTAACCCACATTGTCTTCACAACTGTATCCCTAGTTATTCCAGGAAGCTAAGGAGATTCATTGGTTATCTGCTTGTGTCTTTATAAAATGTTAAAATGATTAGTTCTTCAGGGTTATGAATCAAGTGAAGAGAAGGTCCTGAGCAATAGTGTCCAAACTTCTTTGATACTTTAATCCATCAGTGAAAATATTGGAAGGAGTGTTTCTAATATGTGAATAATAAATATGTGTGTTAGCCTGCTGTATTAAGTAGCAATGAACCTAAATTATAGCTATTTTCATTATAGATAAAGCATTTCATTGTAGATAAAGAATTCTTAATATAGCCCTTTTCCATGACAGCAGATTTTCTTCATAATCCCCCTAAGTACCTGTGGAGCAGAAGTCTTCGATAGTGTTTATTTCCTGAGACATCTTCTCTGATCACAGTTGCACTACACATAGCCAGAAATATCATCTCTTCTTTTTGACTTGGTCAAAAAACTATTACAATATTTACGTTAAAAAGGTATGGTTGATCTCCCAACAAAGGCTGAACTCAGATACCTTCTACTTAATTATACACAAAGAAGGGTAGAAGATAAGAGAACTTTCTCTTAACAACTCAAATCTTTTGATCAAGAATCCAGTAAAACTTGTTCAGGAAACTCTGGAGATTTGAGAGAAAGATGCAGTAAGAACACCTCAGGGTGTGTTTTTCCTGAGGCACTCCCATCTGGCTGCAGCAGCTGGATTTCAGATCCCAGAGGCTTCAGGCAGCCCACTGCTGTGCAGGGAAGAGCCCCTGGTGCCTTTCCCCCTAAAGGGTGTGGGCTAATAGCCCACGCTTCTTTTCTGAGAACAAGTCTGAATTATGCCTTCACCTCTTCTGATTCTCTTTTTTCATCATGGATTATCTCTCTGACTTTAAATTTGGATCCATCCTTCCATTTAGCTCTCCAAAAAGCTCTTACCTCTCCCTAGATTGAATCTAAAATAATACCCTGTGGACACCTTCCTTCCCCTATCACAACACTAGTGCAGTAGGTAGGTTTTTGTGGGATTTGAATTTTGAATTTAATGATTTTTAAATGAGTCATGGAAGATTTTATTCTGAAAAATCACAAGATTTTAGGAAAGTGATCTTGTCCATGGTCTGGAGGAAAAACTTGGGCTAGGACACTGTGGATTGGAGAGATTGGCAGTGGGGTGTTGGGGTCAGCACTGTATTAGCCAATAATCCAACAGTGGTAGGATGAGATACACATGTGGCTTCCCTACCTACGCCCTTGTGTGAAATGAGAGCGGAGAAAGTTTATTAGTGATTTACAGTATTTATTTATATGATATACAATACAATATGTAAGTAGCAAGTAATATCTGCAATGCACATTGAATGAGCACACTGCTGGATGCTATTTTTCATGTAATATGCTGGTGTAAGCAAAAAAAAAAGGAACATATACTTGAAAACAGAAGTCTGAAAATTAGATCATAAACAGAATTGTTTCAGAACTGCTTTTTCATCATGTAATACCACTTTGGAGACTACAAAGGAGAAGTTAAGGTAGAATTAAATTATTAAGTAAGTAATGCATTATTAAGAAAGTCAGATGTGGCAGAGCCAAAGTGATTCTGGTCCTGGTGCTGCTACCATTCGGCTGTGTGATTTGGCAAAACACTAAGAATACAATTTCCTCAGTTGTAAAATAAAGGTATTCAATAGCATAAACTCCTCCAAGATTTCTCCTTGTTTTAGAATTCTATGCATGTAAAATACATAAATAATTCTTTTTAATTACTTATTTATTCTGTTACAGTTTTCAAGCATCATGTATCATTTTTCAACCACTATTGATTTTTTATGTGTACTTAGATTTTATTAATGAGCATATTTTGGTCTATCTCAAAATATTTTTAAGGGGAAGAAGATTATAAATAATCACCATATTGTATTTAACAGTAATTTAGTATGAATAAAATCAACACATAATAATCATCATTATTTCTTCACAAAACACAAAAGGATTAAAATTACATTTTCCTCTGGAGTTGTAATCTTGCAATATTTTAAGCGGAATAAGAGATTTTCAAAAAAGACTATATCTTATACAACCAGAAGAATGATGTAATACTCCATTTATATATAATGTGTCAAAATGCATTCTATTGTCATGAATAACTAATTAGAACAAATTAAAAAATTAGAAAAATAAGGAATTCAAATTAAGTGGCTTGTTAATTTGAGGAGGTGCAGTCTCTGGCACATATAGAAGCATAACTGAGGAGATGGGAGGCATTAGTATGGGGAAATAGATACAGCAACAATTGTATCTGCCTCTGGAATAAACCTACAAATTACTCTTATATGTGAGTATATTTGATGTTCTAATGACTAACAATACTTCAAATTAAATAATGAGATTCTAGTTCAAGAGACACAGAAAGTGTCCAGTTTCACCAATGCCCTAGGAAAATGAAAATTGTCACCACTGCCTCCCAGGAAAGGATCGACCTAAAATTTACTTGCCATTTCTATATGTTTACTTTCTTTGGGCAAATAGTATTTGGGTAAATTACAGTAACCTTGGAGTCAGAAAGTCTGTGCTTAAATACTGGCATCTTCTTTTTCTAGCTACGTGAAATTGAGTGAGGCCACAAACTCTTTTAACCTCAGTCTCTTATTTGGGACGTGGAATCAATAGTAGAGTGATGATAATGACCCTGTGTTCTTCAAAGGGATGTGAATAAAACAAATTGGTTAATGTGGAACTTTAAACTATTTAATTTACTTATTTTTATGTGGTGCTGAGGATCGAACCCAGGGCCTCACACGTGCTAGGTGAGATCTCTACTGATGAGCCACAACCCCAGCCCCTTTAAACCAAGTTTATAATGAGTTGATACAATGAGTTAAAATGTAACAATATAAAGGAATGTGACATTTACTATATTAATTAACTTCCTATCATATGCAAATTCTGTGAATTAACCGAAACCAAATCAAAACAAAGTAATATTCCACCTTCAATGATATAATCTACCTGTGCAAACATAAATAAAAACACCTAACATTCTTCCAGTAACTCTGTGGGAGAGCATGTATACTTTTAAAACTCTCTGGGGTTCAACTTTTTCAGCTGTAAAGAGTAAGTTTTGGTTCAGTGGCACTTATGTTTTTTAAAGCTCTAAGGTATGATTTGAGAAGAAATATGACTTTTGAAAATGAGATTTGGCATTAATAAAGAAAATGCTGGGGAGATTCACAAGGACAGATTAGAGAAAAGCAGCATTTCTAGTAGCTCTGTGGCTGGAGATTCAAGCAGTGGGAGGACTGCTTCTCAGCAAGGTAGGTGAAAGGAAATTTTTCTGAAATTCAGTGTCAAATTGTCAGAGTCTCTGAGAGACTCGGAAATTGGGGTGCATTAGACAAAGAACAAGAAGGATACACTGGGCCCCCGCTGGTTGTGGCAGCAGCAGTGGTGCTGGTTCACTGCAGAGGGAAGGGATAACATGAACAGAGAAAGAAACAAAATGGACAAATTTGCCATGAAAAAAACTGTAGATGAGAAAAGCAGCTTGAACTTAGCTGATCCAGAGGTTCTGTTGTTTGAAAAGTGCTCTGTGTTTCTCAACAGGCCAGCATGGAGTGGGGGCAGGAGCCTTCTAGAGGAGGCCAGCATTTGCTATGCCAGATTCCCACGCTGCCATACTCTCTGGGAGACCTCCTACCATGTGGCCTTGGGACTACCTAGCAGAAAACAAGAAGGAGTCAGGTTCAGAGAAGACTGTAGCCAGGGGAATCCAGGTTATAAATATGGTAGTGGTGGGAGTGGAGTTGAAATCACTTTCCCTTTGAATCTGGTGGCTCATATGACCAGTTGAAGAGGGTTGAGAAACTAAAGAAGCAGATGTGAATACACTCAGAAACAAAGCTTAGGAAGGTAGTATTCTTGGACAGCAGAGTGTATGAGACTTTTGGAGGCATGGCTCTCCTGCCCTGCAGGTAGAATTTTTGCTAGGTCCTGAGATCCAGACTCCCAGCATCTGGCTGGCCCTAGGCATCTGTGGATCTAATCTCTCCAGAGCAGACAGCACCCAGCAAAGCCCCTAAGGCCTGATTAGAACCAAACCCCAACCACCAGACCCTCCTTCTTAGATCTGCAGCAGACCCACCCTGAGAGTGCATCAATCTAGTCTATTCAGACAAAACTCCTATCAACAGTATTTCCCATCCAATCCATCCTACCTTGAAAAGGGAAGCAGAGAGCTCTTTCAATCAGCTGCATTATAGCCCAGGGAGCAACAACACAAAAAGAGGAAGGGATGAACAACCCTCAGCCTTCTACCCTATCTCCTCCCTCTCTCTCTCTCTCTCTCTCTCTCTCTCTCTCTCTCTCTCTCCCTCTACCTCTACCTCTCTCTCAGTAAATAACCAGAGGAAAAATGGAAAGGGACAACTGTCCATAGGCAGTGACCATCCATCCTCAACCACAGATTTGACCATCTAGTGGAGACAATTCTTTCATTTTCATTAAGAATTTTTCCCTTTGTATTGGGAGGGGCTGACACGGTGTTCTTGCTATGCTGATTGGTTCATATATTTATATGTATACACATATTTGTTCCTTTTTTCTCACTTTTAGCATTCTTAACAATTTTTTTCCTTGTCTTTTAAAAGTTGGGGTTTTGTTTGTTTCTCTTATTTTTCTTTCTCTCCTTTCTTCTCCCTCTAACAAATTATCTGATTCTTTCTTACTCTCCTTTTTTCCCAATTTTCTCCATTTTACAGCCATCACTTGCCATATCTCATATATTCTCTCTGTTCATAATTTGAACATTCCAAACTTTCTTTTACTTTCCTATTACATTTTATTGTCTCTTAATGAACCGTATTTTTAACCATCTTTTAGAATTAGTTATTCATATGTAAAAGAATGAATCTAGACCTTATCTCTTTTCATGCCCCAAAGTCAACTCAAAATGGAGCAGAGACCTAGGAATTGGACCCAAAACTATGCAACTCCTTAAAAAACAAAACAAAACAAAACAAAACAAAACATAGGGGTAATACTCAAACATACAGGCAGAGGCAAGAACTTTCTCAATAGAACCACTAAAGTTCAGGAAATAATGTCAAGAAGTTAATAAATGAGATGGCACAAACTTTTAAAGCTTCTGCACAGCAAAAGAAACAATTAAGAATGTGAAAAGAGAACATACAGACTGGGAGAAAATTTTTGTTAGCTACTTTTCTGACAGGATTAATATCCTAAATATATAAAGAACTCAAAAAACATAATACCGAAAAAAAAGCAAATAACCAAGTTAATAAATGGATAGATAATCTAAAACATACCTTTCTCAGAAGAAAAAAATACAAGTGCTCAACAAATATATAAAAAAAAGTGTTCAGCATCTTTAGCAATTAAGGAAATACAAATCAAAACTATACCGAGATTTCATTTCATTCCAGTTAGAATGGCAGTCATCAAGAATATGAAAAATAAAAAATGCTAAAGAGGATGTGGACAATAAGGAGCACTTTTACACTGTTGGTGGAATTGTAAATTAGACAACAACTATAGAAATAAGACTTAAATGACTAAGAATGGAACTATCATTTGACCCAGCTATACCAATTTTGGGTCTTTATCCTAAAGAACTAAAGTCATGCATATTAATGACAGCAGCAATTCAAATAGCCAAACTATGGAACCAGTCTAGGTATCTGTCAGTGAATAAATTGATTTTTTAAAAAAATGCACTGTATATACACAATGAACTTTTATTTGGTTATAAAGAAGAATGAAATTATGTCATTTTTAGAGGAAATGGTGAAATTTGAAAACATTCTGTTAATCAAAATAAGCCAAATTCAGAATGTCAAGGATTGTATATTTTCTCATATGTGGGAGCTAAAGAGGAAAAAGGGGAAGTGTGTTTGTGTGTGTTGCAGGGGGTCTCATGAGAATTGAAGGAAGATCAGTAGGGTCAAGGAAAGGGAATGGGGAAGAAGGAGAGGAAGAAAAAAGGAAATATTGTGGAATGATGTTACCCAAACCATATTCTGTGTTTGCACAAATATGTAACAATGAATCCCACCATTATGTATAACTATAATTTCAATAAAAATGGAAAAACATAAAGTCATTGTTTTCTAATTTGAAAAAAGAAAATGTTGCTCATGCATCTTGCTTAATTGCCAAAATAATAATTTAAGAGACAGGGCTAGGGTTGTGGCTCAACAGTAGAGCACTGGCCTAGCACATGCAAGGCCCTGGGTTCGATCCTCAGCACCACATAAAATTAAACAAATAAAATAAAGGTATTGTATCCAACTATGACTAAAAAATAAATATTTTTTAAAAAGAATTAAAGAGAGCAACAGTATTTTTAAATCATACTATTTTTAAAAATTTATTTATTCTAATTTGTTATACATAATTGCAGAATGTATTTCAATTCATAGTACACATACAGAGCACAATTTTATATATATATATATATATATATATATATATATATATATATATATATATATATATATTTTAGTTGTAGTTGGACACAATACCTTTATTTTTATGTGGTGCTGAAGATCAAACCCAGGGCCCCACACATGCTAGGCAAGAACTCTATCGCTCAGCCACAACTCCAGCCCAGAGAGCACAATTTTTCATGTCTCTGATTGTACACAAAGTAGAGTCACACCATTTGTGCCTTCATACATGTACTTAAGGTAATGATGTCCATCTCATACCACCATCTAAACCATACTATTTCTAAGAAGAGTAGGTAGAATGATCTACTAAATATCCTTTAGATGAATAACAATTGATAGTGGCAGAAGTTTGTGAAGATAGTGAAAACGGGAACCCTGTGTTGCTAACCTGCTAAGACTTTCATTAAAAAGGTGAAGTGCCATAAGACACTAGGCAGGATTACTAGGTTTTCAATTAGACTCTCAGTTCTGTTGTGCTTTCATAAAATAGACAATGTAGTTTTCACAGTTCTACATGATGCTGGTTTCATTAACCAGAGAACGAATATTTTGCAAGTAGATAAGTTCTAGGCTCAGGCAAAATGAAGCATAAGTGCTCAATTTCAAGGACCTTGAATCCAACATTTTTCCAATTAGGCTATAAGAAAAATAATTTCTTGAATGTGATGCTTCATATTTATTATCACAGGTGATACTGCCAAGTAGGTACAGTAGGCAGAATTCCCCACTGATGTGATGAGAAAATGGATGTATGTGACTAAGGTTCTGGCAAGTTAACACTGATGCTAAAACTAGATCCTGTACTTTCTAACCTACAGGCCAGACTCTTGTTTTTTCACCACTCAAGATTTGTCAACAATAATCATGGCAATCATTTACAGAGCACTTTCCATGTGTCAAGCACATGCTGAGCTCTTTAAATTTAGTAAGTTTTGTTTTGTTTTGGTTTTGTTTTGTTCCTCCCCTACACACACACACACACACACACAGCTTCTCCCTTGTCAGAGAAAAGGAACTACTATTTGCATTTGACAGCCAAGCTATCTGAAGCTTGGGTAAAAACAAAGGATCTTGCTCTAAGACAGTAGTCCCCAAGAGGTGGGATCCACCTACAGCCTGACTTCAGCCCCTTCCTAATATCTCTCCTGTGCAGCTTTTCTATCTCTGGCACTTGCTATTTCAGAAGCTCCCACTGTGAGGAGGTTTTCTTGAACCGAAAAGCAGTTTAGAAAAAATAACATGACAGTGAAATTAACAAACAAACAAACAAACAAAACATAAGCCCACATCATTATCTTTTTAAGCATCTCTAGAAACTAGAATCTGAGATTGGAATAGGTTATTGTTTTATATGACTTATATACACTAAGTAAGTTCCATGCCCAGTGATTTATTTTGGAGCAGATTGTTCTAACAGGCATTTTTCCTCTCCAGTTTCTACCTCGCTTAGTAACAACTATGCATCCCTTTCATTCTCTCTCTTTTTATACTGCCCCCCCCCCCAACATACACACATGAACTTTGGGGTTTCCTCTTTGTTTTATATCTCAAGAGATTTTTTTTTTTCTCCTGGACATTGACAAATATCATTTTAAAATGTTTACATAATTCAGACTGCTCAAATACGTTGTGTGTGTGTGTGTGTGTGTGTGTGTATTCAGAGTCTATCATTGCTCTTAGAAAACATCAATTTGATCTCCCAGTACAAGTACTCATTCTGCCTCTCCTTTCTTTTTCCTTTGTTCCTGTTTTCTTTCCTCCCTCCCCGTGTCCTTTTCTTCCTCTCTTTCATTCTTCCATGTCATAAAAATTCAATGCTAAGCACAAACATGACCTTGGGAAACTCACTGTCTAGCTGAGGTGAGAGATAATATATGTGCTGAACAACAAACATATAAATAGAGTAACGATGTGTCACAGACTATACATAATGTATACTTAACGTAAATTTTCATAGATCATAAAGAAAGGTCCCTAAGAAACACTTAAACCAACTCTTGAATAGAATCAGAATACACAGAGAGGAAGGAAGAGGCAAGAAGGTTATTTTGTAAATTTTAAAAAGGAATCAACAGATTAGTATTAATTCAATCTCATCTTCCAAAAAATCCTCCCTTCCTCTTCTTTCTAATAAGCACAGACCACATGCAGTTTAACGTGCAGGCTTGTACTTCTTTTTCTTTGCCTCTGCTGCCCCCTTTGCCTGGCTTATTCTGTCAGTCTTGCATCTAATCCTCCTGGCTTTCTTTGAATGTCAGCTCAAGGGTAAGTGGTGAGGTCCTCCCTGAAGCCTAGCTTGCCTTCTGCCAGCCTCGCAGTGTGCATGCAGGTAACTCCATGGAAGCAGTCGCCCCTTGCTGTGTAAATGCATCTCATGCTGTCTTTCTGCCACACTGCATGTTATTTGTTGTCTAAACCCCAGAACAGTCAACAGTGTGAAACACGTAGTAAATGCTCAGCATACATTCCAGGAATGCATAAGTTCTACAAAAAATACTTGGTCTATATAATTTTGGTACTGAGATTGAAGCTCTAAATGTTAGGGGTTCCATTGAATTTGGGTTATTCTCAAAAATACTGACTCTGTGGCTTAATCTCGAGGAAAAGAATTACAAAGGAAATGATTGAGAATGTGAGAGCCCACACCATGGAACGAACTATGTGCAATGTAAACAGCTAAAAGTAGCATAAATATGCACAGCAAGAGATAAATGAGGCATTCACATGACAGCAGTGTCTGAGTCTACTACAAGTAGGTTATGATTGCAGGCCGCAGTGGAGCAGCATGAATAAAAGATTAAGTTGAGTGTATTTTGGGTAGGTGGATGGGTGGGAAGTGCAGAGAATCTGTTAAAGAAAAGAATATTCAGATTAGGTATTCAGAAATATCTAATATAAATAATTCATTTCACACTAAGAGAGAAACCCCCCAAAATGACAGTTGCTTAAAGTATATTTACATGACACCTTAAAGAAGTTTTGTTTAGTTCCCAGCATTCTCCCTCCAGAAAAGAAGAAATTTGGGGCAATGCTTAAAAAAAAAATGTAGCTTTCCCTAAATGAAAAAGGTATTTCACACAATGCATGAGCCAATATATAAAGACTGTGTGGAAGTCAGAAAGAGCATAAAGGTGCTCCAGTTTTAGGGTAGGTCAATATCTGGTGGAGACTGTGTTTGGAATAAGTAGTGGGTGCAACAGGTCCTCAGGATTCTCCCTTGAGCTGATGCTGCTTCTGGTCCCACTCTTTAGGTCATTAACATGAGAAGGAAGTAGAATTATCAGATGTTAAGGCAGAAAGGTTTGAGGGAATCATCTTCCTTTGCCATTCTTATTTTCAGATGAGGACATCTTTTAAAGTCCAGAAAGGGGAAGAAATACACCAGATAGTTTAAGAGCTAGAAAATGGCAGAATTGGAGATGAAACCCAGGAAACCCAGTTCCCAGTAAAATCAATGCTCTTTCTCCTAACACTAGGTTATGTCAAAATCCATCTTAAAATAGAATACAAGAACAACCAGGTTAAATGTTTTAAAGTTTCTACAAGAAAATAGGTTTTGTTCCATCAGTCTTTGTTTCCTTTTGTTTATCAAAAAAGCAACATCAGTCATAGTCTCCTAGTGACATCTGGTGTCCAAATTGGGTAATACGAGCTATAGGAAGAATGTAAGCAAACTTCTATGCAATATTGGTTTTGAATATTTCTGTAGTTATAATAATTATATCCAAAACTTTTAAAAATATTTCTTAGTTGTCGATGGACCTTTCTTCTTCCTTCCTTCCTTCCTTCCTCCCTCCCTCCCTCTTTCTTACTTTCTTTCTTTCTTTCACTGAGAATCAAACCCAGTGCCTCACACATGCTAGGCAAGTGATCCACCACAGAGCTACAACACTAGTTCACAAGCAAAACTTTGAAAACACATGGTAATTTGTAAAGATGTTGTTTCATGGTTTCCCTGAACCTTATCAGCCTTTAAACAAGGCACTGTTTCCTGGTAATCCTCTTTTTGAAGCAACATTAAATTGTTGCCAATCTTGTGCCATCTGAGCCTAAATTACATTATCCCTCTAAAAAAGATCAATTAGAATCTTCTATGTGACAGAAGTTATAGCCACCGGAGATGCTGAAAGTCCTCTATTCAGTATTCTGATGCTTTAGCTGGGGAAATATACCCATTACAGGGAACTGTAAAACAAAGTGATAAGAACTATAATTAAAATGTATACACAATATCCTGAGGAAAGGATGCTAGGAAGAAGTAACAGGATTTCTGGGAAATCAAGTGGGCTTCCAAGGAAATAAGACCATTTTAACTTAGTCTTAAGAAGTGATGTCATGAGCTGTCCGTGGGTTGCATGTGGGTCACGGTGCATCAAAGCCTCATGGATAGAAACATCTGGTGTCTGGGAATGACCAGTGGACATTTTCTCTGGTCAATTGCCCAGGAACAGTGTGAATTTCTACACTGCCCGGACTGTGGCCCACACAGCACCTGAGACGGGTGTGACCTGCCAAGATGTCAATCAACCTGCTGACTGCAAGACTCCACCCTTGAAACTTTATCCCTGCCTTTGATGTACCCCCTTAAGTAAAACACCGGAGCCATCTTTCCTTTCTCTAGTTTCAGCACCCATGTGAATTAGATCTATCAGTGGCTTGCTTTTGTAAATATATTTCTGACTATTTGTGTTTTGTCCTTCACTAATCATTTGAGACTTTAAGTTTTTGGGTAGCTTACACTCTCCTCGGCAGGAATAAGAACCCCTCCCCACCCCAATGAGATGCTGGC